CTGGGGCAAAAGTAGGTTTACAATTATAAGTATGGAAAATAACGCAATAATTAATGAGTAATAATATAAGAATAAACTCTGTGCTTCACATAGTCACAACTGTAAACCCACTTTTGTCCCACCCTGTCGAAGACCTCTTGTTATAGGGAAGAGGAAGGGTGCATTGGGGGCTTCCAAGGCCACCCCAGGAAAAGAAGAGCAGCAGACCTTTAGTAAACGAAGTTTGCCCTGCCCCATAGGTGGGCGCAAAATGTTATTACTGATGATCTCTCATGAGAAAGGCCCCTAATTCAAATTCTTCTAGTCAGTTGCAGGTCAGGGACAGAAGTTTCTCCTGAGCCTGCAGCTAAAGTTGCCTTCAGTACAACACAATCCACATGCTGCAGAGGCACCTCATGATCGACTCGTTCTGGACCACACAATAGTCATCCGGGGAATCTGTGTCGTTGGAACATACAGTTCACTCACCTCTGCACGTTCCTCACTGACCAGGAAATCAAAAACTGCCACTTAGACTCTTCTCATCTATTGAGTAAAATACTTACTGTCCCAAGCTCATGCAGGCCATGCCATTTAGTTGCAGTCATGCGCAAGTAAGGTTTGTTTGTCCAAGCCCAGATAATTGAGAAATCTGTGACCTTCAGGCCTGAGCAAACGTGACAAAGTGAGCCAATCAATAGCGTCAGAAGCAAAACCGAGCGACTGTTAGCTTCTGGGGAGAAAGAAACTCCAGTGCTGTTCCAACCAAACAGTCATATGATGGAGAGGTTCATGAGAAAATGTACCTCAGATTGTGGTTTTGACAAAAGCATTTTATAGGATGACCTGTTGATGATTTTTACCCATCTTATTTCGGTGCTATTGTGTGTCCGTTCTTTATTTAAAGACAGCCCTGGATACTTAAAATTGTATATTCTGCACTGTGAAATCAGTTAAACAATGGGGAAATGCTCTTTCATGCAAGAGTAAAATGCTTTCCCATAGTGTAGATAATGAGTCAAATATCTCTCTCAAAAAAATGCTAAAAATGTAAGTTGGCAGTCACCACACACAGTTTCAAGAACTATATGGTTCATAAGAACTTTTATGTTCAAAATAAGGTATTATTGAGGGAGGGGGATATAAAGAGACTAAATGGTAATGGAAAAATATAATAAAAAATAAATAAATAAAATAATAGTCCTTATTAAAAATAAATAAAACACTTTATTTGGCAAATAAAAAACCCAGGTTACTAAGTCTTAATGTATTTCCCCTTTCAGTCAGCCAGTCAGTCAGTCAGTCAGTCAATCAACAATATCTGTCAGTCTACCATACACCAAGTGCCGGGTACATCGATGAATAAGACAGATAAAGACCAAACAAAGGCAGAATTAAGACAGAGGAACAGGGTAGAAATTTTTTTTTTAATTAATTGAGAACTATTGACATGGACTAGTCAAGAATGACCTCTCTGAGGCTGGCTGGGACATTAAACTGAAACTGAAGCAAGACCGAAGTCCTTGAAGTGACTTAGAATGAGGGAGGGTGGTGCATTGGTATGCAGGCTGGGTTGGGGGCAGGGGCCCAAAATGAGCTCGAGAAGAACTGGAGGCCACTGATGGGTTTTATGGATGGAAAGGCTGCGTACAGTGGAAAGGGGAAGCAAGGAAGTGATTTACAGTGCGTGTAAGTCTCAGGTGAGAGGCAGAAAGGCTTCCATGGAGTGGTAGCAGGTCGGGTAGCAGTAGATGGAGTTAAGGTGTGTTTTGAAGTGGGGTGTGCTGGGCTTATAAACTGTCTGGCATGGGGATGGAGTTGAGGAAAAGACAGGAATTATCCAGGACTCTGAGGTTTCCGACAGGATCATTTCCCTTAGTTTACCCTCTTCAAGGCTTCCACCACAATTAAAGCAGCTTAAGCCGTTATCTCGTTTGTTTATTAATTTGTTTACTTTTTTATTCTGTGCATCAACAATAATGTCGTCCAATAGAAAACTAATGTAAACTGCACACGTAAATTTTAAGTTTGCTAGTAGCCACATTAAAAAACAGGTAAATTTAATTTTAATGATATATTTTACTTAATCCAAAATATTATTTTGGCCCTGGCCAGGTGACTCAGTTGGTTAGAGCATCACCCTGTACACCAAAAGGTTGTGGGTTCAATCGCCAGTTGGGTCACATACAGGAGGCAACCGACTGATGTGTCTCTCTGGTATCAATCTCTCTCTCTTTCTCTCTCCTTCTCTTCCCCTCTCTCTCTCAAATCAATAAAAACATATCCTCAGGTGAAGACAAAAAAAGACTTTGACAAATTATCAATATAACAATGAGAATTCTTAAACACTTTTCTGTATTAAGTCTTCAATGTACAGTGTGTATTTTACAGCATATCTCAGTTGAGACTAGCCACGTTTCAAGTCCTTCATAATTGCCCACAGCTAGTGGCCATGTACTGGACAGTGCAGATCTGGAGTGTGAACCCCTGAAGGCAGGTCTGTTCAGTCTAGCTCACTGTTTTTCCCTAGCAATTGAAACATTCAGTGAGCCTTCAGTTTTCAGTGAGTGAATAAATGCCTGGTGATTGAGGGCTTATTGAAGGCAATAGTTTTGGGGGTTCAGATCAAAGTTTCCATTTGGACTCAGTCAGTCTGGCATGTTTATGAGGCCTCTGCATGGAGATGTCAAGAAAGTGGATGGGAGAGTCTGGCTGGGACTGAGAAAAAAAATCTGGGTGGAGATGTAAATTTGGCACCTTGATGGTTCTAAATCCAAGAAAATCATGGTGACTCACCCCAGGAAAGAGTACAGAGAAAGGAAAGGTTCAGACTCCCACTTTCAGAGATACCGACATTTATGTGTTTAGTGAGAGAAGAGGAAAATCAGGAAAAGTGTGGTGCTGTCAAGATATCAAGACAAAACGTTTCAAGGAAAAAGGAGTGGTCAGCTCTGCTGAGAGATCAGTTGAATGAAAAGTAAAGTAAAAAAAAACCAAGACAGAAGCACTGAGATCAAAATAATCCTAACACATTCCACAACCTCTTTTAAACCTTACTGGTAATGCTTCGAGTCAGAGAGAGATTCTTTTCATTCATGTCTGTGTGTATGTTTTTAAAAACAAAGAAATTTGACCTCTGAAGATCAAAAAGATAGTTTCTGAAGAACCACATCTAGAACCCAAGACTCATAGTCCAGCATTATATAATGAACATATTATAAAGCACAGAGAATAACAAAGGACAGTTGAGGTTTATGGGCGGAGCATGAGTACCTGAGACTCCACCAGGTCTAGGTGGTTTGAAAGCAGATACACATTTGACAACATCTTTTAGGCGTGGAACCCTCCGTTTACAACACCTACAATTGTTAACAGGCTGCTTCTCCTAGGACTTCCATTTCTCAACCTTAGACAGTGCAGTTCTACTGTGCCTGCGGTGGGGTGATGTGAACTAACAACGTCATCCAAGAAAAAGATCATCTGAGTGGATAAAAAAAGTCGTGGGGCATAAAAAAGGTAATATTCCAATACAATGGAATATTACCTGGCCATAAAAAAGAATGAAATCTTACCAGTTGCAACAGTACAGATCGACCTGAAGGGTATTATGGTAAATGAAATAAGTCAGTCAAAGTCAAATAGCATACGATTTCATTTATATGTGAAATCTAAAGAACAAGATAAAGAAACATAATTAAACCAGATGTACACAGAGAACAAACTGGTGGCTGCCAGATGAGAGAAGGGCAGCCACACTTCAGGGAAGGCTGCAGGGAATGGATGAAAAAGGTGAAAGGATTAAGAAGTACAAAATGGTAGTTAGAAAGTAGTCACACGGATGTAAAGTACAGCGTAGGGAATATAGCCAGTAATACTGTGATAGCTATGCAGGGTGCCAGATGGGTACTAGAAATAGCTGGGGGGTACACTTGGTAAAGTATATGATTGTTGAATTACTATGCTGCACGCACATGTGAAACTAATAAAAATAACAATGACTATAAACTGCGATTGAAAACTATAAATAAACTCTAAATAAATAAAATGGCCATTTACAAACATCTATCCAATGCATTGTTATAGATAAATTAGGCTTTCTCTGTAGCCATTCAAAACACAGAAAGAATGAAATGACCTAAATTCTATGGCTAAGTAGCTGTGTGACCTTGAATAAGACTGTACCTTTGCCTGCTGTTCTTATCTACAGAACAGAGGGGTTAAATCAGATTATCTCTAGTTCTAAAAATAATTTGTGATTTAATGTTAGAGTTAATTAGGGTTTCTTCTGCCCACATATTTAAGTTCAAGCTTGATCAGTATGCAAAGTTCATCATAAAGGAAGTCAAGAAACCTGGGAATGAATTCCAGCCTCACTGCCAGATAGACAGTAATCATGGAATAGGGAACTAAAACGGGATGCTAATTGTCATGCTCATCTCTCAGAGTTGTTTCTCCAACTGAACCAGGCAAATAAGGTGAATGTTTTGTAATCTGTAGAGTTCTAGAGAAAGTAGAAGTACAGTTATTGGATAATGACGTTGGAAACACTATACACTATCACTCCCAACACATACCAGACTGAGTCGACATTTATCCTTCGGGCATGCGACTTGTTACTTGTCTTGGATTATGGTAATGGAATATTCTCAGTGTGAGTATGCAGACAACTGTTCAGTCTTGGTATCTCCAGGGAGGGCCTATCTTTGCGTGTTTACAAGAAAATAATCAGATTCACACACACAAAAAGAAAGAAAGAAAAGGGGGAGGAGGGAATTCCCAGGCAGAGGAGGAAGAAAGGTAAAGGCAAAGTTAGGAAAATAAAAGGCAAGTCAGAAGAAGTAACAGGGATGGGGGTGGGGGAGTGAGCATCAGCTGGGTAGGGACAGGAGCCAGTTAGCCAGGGGCGGGGGCCGGGGTGGGTGGCGATGAGTGGCACGTCCAGTGACTTGCCAAGCAAGCACCAGGCGGAGGAGGGTGGGGCTTGAGGGAGGGTAAAGGCAGGGCAAGACTTAAAAGGGAGATGACCCTAGCTAGTTGATGTCACCGTTTAACCTCCGAAGAACAGAAGAAGGAGACCCAACGCGAGGTAAAAGGAGTCAACGCCTGCCACTAAGGCAGCTCGAGAGGAAGCACGCAGACAGGGCACTGGGACCCCTGGGAGCTCCCAGCCTCCCCGCCACCATGTGCGAGCTGTATAGCAAGCAGGACACTCTGGCGTTGAGGAGGAAGCACATCGGGTAAGGCCTTCCCAGCCCGGAGGAACGCTGCGGACAGGGAGAAATGACAAGTGCAGGGGACTGAGAGCCGAAGCACCGCGGGCTGCGGCAAAGGCAGGAACTGCGCCCCAAGCTTTCGCAAGGCGGCTGCCAGCGGAGTGCGACTCGCCGCCTGAAGCACCTGGGCGCGCGCACGCCTGCAGCCCTCAGCCCCCACACCCCCTCTTGCAATGCGCACGGGCGCTCCTTGCTGCAGGGGAGACTTTCACCGCCCCAGTTCAGTTCGGGTTCTAGTCCCTGGAGGAGTGAAGCTGCGGGCGGGTTGGGAAAGTTGACCCGTGAAGGTTAAAGGCCCCAGCAAACACTTATTCCAGGGATGGGCGCTGAGAGAAGGAAGGGTACCTCGCCGCAACTCCCACCAAATCTGAAGGTTTTCAAAACTAGGAACTCAGAAATGTGTTTGGTGATGGTTATAAAAACAAATTCTGACATCTTTTGTTTAAAGTGAACTTTTTCTTATTGCATGCTTGGTTCAGAGGTAAAGGGTTAAACTAGCCAGTAGAAAAAACGTTGAAACCACCGTCCTAAGGGTTAAGACGATACTTAGGCACATTGGGGTCTCCCAAGCCGTGCCCCTTACTTAAAGTTTAAAATGCAGTGTTCTCCCCAGTCTACGTTTTTGTCTGTGCTGTAAATGACTTGGTAATATACTGGTGAGCATACAGGACTGAACTTGGTCAGACCCGGGCCCTGAGCCTAGCAGGGTGTCATGTTACCTGTGTGACCTTTGTCAAATTAATTTCCTTTTCTGTGAAAGTAGGAATAACAACTCTGCTTCGCAGGAAGGAGCAAATGAGATTAATAAGTGTGGTTTTTCTTTAAGTAAAAATGAATGATGATTGTGGCCATTCTGGACCCCTTGTCCCCATAAAATCAAGAGTCTGCAGTATTTATAGGTAACTGGCAAGCGCTCCAGAGGGCGCATGCGAGAGGCCTGGGGGACGCGAGAAAGAAAAGAATCAGGATTCCCTTCGGAGAAGTGCTGGGAAGTCCATCCTACGGAGGCTCCAGAAAACAATGCCGGGAGATTTCTGAACGGTTAAGGAGGTTGGTTAGAGTTTTCTCAGCCCTGCTGTACGGTCAAGATAGATGCCTCATGACCCATCTCCCCTTTTTCCCTTTTTCTTTTTCACCACTCCTTTCTGTTAGTTTTCAGTCCTACATAGTTAGGTTCTGATGAAAACCCAATGATTTCTGACGGGAGCAGAACAAATTCTGTGAAGGGAGGAAGGCAGCCATGGATTGACTGGAAGAAAAATGTTACCCAAAGTCTGAGGGGCAAGGTGGAAAGTACATTATAACAAGGCAAGGCGAAGTCTGCAGTTTTCAGCACACATCCATAACAAAGGTTTCTTTGGATTTTAACTCTTAGGTATAAACTAACAGCTGAGTATGAACCAGTGAGAAAGTCACATTAAATATTAGTTTCACTTTCACCAATGATGATGAATCTTAGGCAGTTTTAAATTTCAGATTACCTAGTCACAATAATCAAAATACTTTCTAAACAGTTGTATATCAGTTTAATATGTAAGTATCTAATTAACCCTTTAAACTTCCTCTAATGCTTCTGGCATTTTCCTTTGTATGCAAAGTCACCAAAATAAAAATAATATATTCATTTTTAGTTTCTAAATGTCCATAGAGCCAAAGTCAGAAACCTAATTTTGTTTCTATATTACTAATATTTATATTCCGGACATTCATTTAAATAATGAAAAATACAGATGACTTTATTATGCTCAAAAGAGTGGATTAAGGGTTAGAAGAATGATTGAATTTTATTATTTAAGACTGGAAAAATCCAGGACTTCAGGTCAAGATGAAGGTGTAGGTAAACATGCCTTGTCTCCACACACAACTATAGCCAAAAAATACAACTAGACTACAAAATAAATTTCACCCAGAATTGTCAGAAAACCGAGCTGTGTGGAAGTCCCACAAGCAAGGATTTAAAGAATCCATTTATCCAGATGGGTAGGAGGGGCATAGCTGGGAATAGGCAGTCCCACACTCACATGTGGTGAATAAAAATTAGAAGGGTACCTTGGGAGAGAGAGATCTCAGCCCCAGTCCAGACCACCCAGGCCAGGGTCCAGGCATCAGAAACTAAGTCTCATAACTTCTGGCTGTAAAAACCAGTAGGGGTTGGGGCAGCAGAGAAAACTGTCCTCTTAAAGGGCCCACAACAGACTTAAGACTCACACAGGCCCACACCCTCTGGGATTTGCCACCAGGACAATAGTTGGAAGGGCATCAGTGGCATGTGGGGATAAAGTAAAGTGTTAGTGGGGAGACAGCTTCCTCCTGGGCAAACTCCAGAGGCCAGGGAGTGGCCTTGTCTCCTCTGTGAGCCCTCCCCACATGGAGCAACAGAGCTGTGATGTGGGTTGTCCCGCCCTGGCAATTATCTACTCTCCACCCCACACAACTTAACATGTGTGCTAAGAGAACGAGTCAGTGGAACTCTAATACACAGAAACAAACACAGAAAGGCTGCCAAAATGAGGAGACAAAGGAATATGGCCCAAATAAAAGAATAGAACAAAACTCCAGAAGCAGAACTAAATGCAATGGAGATAATCAACCTATCAGATACACAGTTCAAAACAATGGTTATCAGGATGTTCCAGGAGCTCACAGGGTACTTCAACAGCATAAAAAAGACCCAGGCAGAAATGAAGGTTGCATTATGTGAAATAAAGAAAAATATACAGGGAACCCGCAGTGGAGGGGATGAACCCGAGAATCAAATCAATGATCTGGAACATAAGGAAGAAAAACATTCAATCAGAACAGCAGGAAGGAAAAAGAATTTTAAAAAATGAGGATTGGCTTAGGAACTTCTGGGGATATCTTTAAATGTACCAAAATCCAAATCAGGTGATTTCTCAAAAGAAACTTTGCAGGCTAGAAGGAGCTGACGAGAAACATTCAAAGTGATGAAAAACAAGGACCTGCAACCTAGATTACTCTATCCAGCAAAGCTATCATTTAGAATGGAAGAGCAGATAAAGTGTTTCCCAGACAAGGTAAAACTAAAGGAGTTCATCATCACTAAACCATTATTATATGAAATGCTAAAGGGAATTATACAAGAAAAAGGAGATCCAAATGATGAGCATTAAGATGGCAATAAATTCACAACTATCAATAACTGAACCCAAATAACAAACTAAGCAATGAAGCAGAATAGGAATAGAATCATAGATATGGAGATCATTTGGAGGGTTATCAGCTGGGAAGGGGAATAGGGGAAGTGGGGAGTAAGGCACAGGGATTAAGAAGCATAATTGGTAGGCACAAAATAGACAGGGGATGTTAAGAATAGTATAGGAAATGGAGTAGCCAAAGAACTTATATGCATGACCCATGGATATAAACTAAGTGGGGGAATTGCTGGAGGAAATAGGGGTACCGAGTGGAGGGGGGCAAAAGGGAAAAATTGGGAGAACTATAATAGCATAATCAATAAAACATATATTTCTTAAATATTTTATTTATTTATTTTTAGAGAGAGGGGATGGGAAGGAGAAAGGGTAGGAGAGAAACATCAGTGTGTGTTTGCCTCTCATGTGTCCCCTGCTGGGGACCTGGCCTGCAACCCAGGCATGTGCCCTGACTGGGAATCGAACTGGCAACCCTTTGCTTCGCAGACCAGTGTTTAATCCATTGAGCTACACCAGCCAGGGCAATAAAATATATTTTTTTAAAAAGAATGGAAAATCCACTGGGTACAGAGCAAGCATCACTCAAAGACATGGAAATGATCTCCCATAAAGTCTCCTTTATGATATTTAATACTAAGTTATTTGTATTTAGCCTTTATTGCTTTTTGATTCCTTATTAATTAGAAGGAGAAAGAGAGAAAGCAAGCAAGCAAGCATAACCTTGGGCTATGGCATAAGGCAGTCTCCTTTCAAATTCTGGATTTCTTACTGGCTGTACAACCTGAACAAGTGCCTTAATTTTTTCTGTGCCTCAGTTCTCTCACCTATAAAAATAAGAATGATAATAACTCCTATTTCATACAATTGTTGGGAGAGTTGGGAAAATTAAGTGAGATAATATTTGTAATATCTCTCAGTTCTTGACACATAGTAAGCCTCAAAAAAGATAGTTTGCTTTTCTTTCCTGGTAGAACAAAATTTCCCAGAGGAAAATTAGTTATTGGTTCATATCATTAGATCTGTCAGAGTCGATTCATGTGCTTCCACATAGTGTTGTCAAATCATGGCAAATTTAATATAACAAAAATAAGAAATGTGAGCAGTGTTGTAAATGGGAGGTAAAGATGCACGTTTCCAGGCTGATAGAATTTTTGTTCAAACGTGTCACCCAGGTGGTGTTTTCCCTTTCCTTTATATAATTGCAATTTCCCACTTACAGCGACCTCTACCGAGAAGGAAAAACACTGAGCATCCCTGGTAGATCAGAGTGTTTCCTTTCATTATTTCTAGGCCCTCCTGCAAAATCTTCTTTGCTGCGGATCCCCTTAAAATAGTGCGCGCCCAGCGGCAGTACCTGTTTGACGAAAAAGGTGAACGGTACTTGGACTGCATCAACAACGTCGCCCATGGTAACTGTCCAGTCTTCTCGTTGTGCCTTGAGGGATTAAGGTACAGGGATGTACCTTTATGGAGTAAGACAGACTTAGCACCATTCATATTTGTGCAGGACTTGCCGAGGCTGCCGTTCCTTTGCTGAACAAGACCGTTAGTTCTAGGAGAGAAAAGTTGCAGCAAAATGTGGGACAGAAAAGAGATCAACTTTAGTTTTCTTGCTTCAGAATTCCCCTCATTTGCCAGGCATTTAGTATTGTAATTTATTTCTGTGGCTTTTGTCTCCTAAATTTCAGTGGGACACTGTCACCCAGAAGTGGTCAGAGCTGCCCTGATGCAGATGGAAGTACTAAATACAAATTCTCGATTCCTTCATGACAACATCGTGGAATACGCCAAGCGCCTTTCCGCAACCCTGCCGGAGAAACTCTCTGTTTGCTACTTTACAAATTCAGGGTATGTTTCTAGGTTTCCCACGCATCCTATTGCCAGCAATTTCCTTGTTAAGTGTCTCATACATACCTTTTAGTTTTGATTTGTGGTGGAGTATAGATGTCTAAAAAGGTTTGCTGACATTCTTGCCATTTACTAGGTGACTATACACTGGGGACCTGACCAATCTGGTTCCTGTGCTTTAGTCCCTGAGTCTGTTGTAGACAGGATACCAACCTGTTCCAAGGTTTCTGAGCACAGCCACTCAACTTTTTATTACCATGGTTTCCCTGGTGAAAGATGGAGAAGCTGTCCCCTTAAGTATCCCAAAAGGCTATTGAAGTCTTGTGTTCCCGTGAGAAAACCTAACTAGTCAAATGACACTCACCTCTTCCAGCAGTAGAGTAAGTAGCTAAATATCCATAACCTTGAATGAGAGTTAGCAAGCAAAAAGAACTCTACTAAACAAGCTATAACTTTTGTAAGATTTTTGATTGATTTGAACATATTTCCATCACACAAACACGAAGAAGGAAGGAATAAATTGAGTACATAACATTCCAACTTTTAAATTCTGTAAATTCAAATGATTATATGGCATCATTCTATGGAATATAGTGAAGACATTTAAAAAGTATTTTTTGAGCCCTGGCTAGTGTGGCTCAGTTGGCTGGAGTGTTGTTCCATAGATGGAAAGGTCATGGGTTCGATTCCCAGTTGGAGCACATACCCAGGTAAGTTGCAGATTTGCTTCTCAGTCAGAGAGGATTGGAGAAGGCAAGCCAATTGGTGTTTCTCTCCTGCATCAATATTTCTCTCTCTCTCTCTCTCTCTATCTATCTATCTATATATATATATATATAGGGAGAGAGAGAGAAATATATATATATTTATATATATATAAATATAAATATATAAATATAAATATATATATATATTTCTCTCTTTCTCTTCCCCAACCCCTCTCTAAAACCAGTGGAAAAAACAATGTCCCCAGGTGAAGATAAACAAAAAGTATGTTCTGAAAATACATGCCTTGCTGGGCACCAGAAGTTGAATCTGAAAGAATGAAAAGAGAGGCTAATAGTGAGTATTCAAACTGCTGCTCTGAGGCCTCCAGAATAGCTTAGGATCCGGTCCCAGCCTCCACGAGGCGGGACCGTCTGAGGTTCTGTCTATTGAACTGCCATATTTCTTTCCATATTGCTCTGTATGAGAAACCTGCATTAATTGAGCGGGCCTGAATGTATCACAGCTGCTTTTTTAATATGATCCAAGTGAAGTTTTTTTCAAAGAATAGCTTTACGGAGAGGTAATCCACATACCATACAATTCATCCATTTAAAGTATAGAACTCAGTAGGTTTTAGTATGTGTGCAACCATTTACCACAGACAACCATTTACCATCTACCACAGTAGAACATTTTCATCACCTCAGCAAGGAATCTTGTACCTACATTAGCAGCCACTTGCCCCTCTCTCCAGCTCCTGGAAACCACTGATCAACTTTCTGTGTCTGTGGATTTGCCTGTTACAGATATTTCATGTAACTGGGACCATATGATATGTGTTCTTGTGTGACTTTTACTTCATGCAATGTTTTCAAGGTGTGTCCATGTTTTAGTATGCATAAGCACTTCACTTCTTTTTATTGTGAAATAAATTTTCACTGTATGGAAAAAGAAAAGAAAATACATGCCTAATAACATGCGAAAAGCTCACAATACAATGTTATATTGGGAGGAAGCCTATATATTCAGCATAAAATCATATTTTAAAATGATATATATGTATATATGTTTAAAATTAGAAATTCTGTAAATGTTTAATTATATGATTCTATAATTCACTTTTCTTTTTTCAATGAGATTTTATTTTTTCAAGGAGATATTTTAAAAGAAAAATTTTAATTCGAAGATCTTTGTTTTTTCTTTGTAAAGAATTAAGATATTTTGTTATAAAGCATTCTTGCTTTCAATAATTTAAACATTATAATTGCCTTTTGCTGATAAAGAATCCTGTACTGTCAGAGAGGGATTAGCCCCAGAGAACACTGTTCTCAAAGGAGGCTGTCCCCGAAGACTAGAGACAATAGAACCTGGGATAGTACAAAGAATGATTTGAAGTTAAACAGCCTTCAATCTGAAACCTGATTCTACCTCTTATTAGCCATAAGAACTTATTCTGGTCACGCACCTTCTTTGAGGTGGTTTCCTCATTCATAAAAAGGAGAGAGCAATACTGGCCTGTTTGAATAGTTATGAGAATAAATACAAGCCAAATACTCAGCATAATGTCTAGCAGATAGAAAACATTCCACAAATGATTATTTTCTTCCTGTGTCCAAGTTGTAGGGGACCAGTTTGTTTTAGTCTGGCAAATGTGACTCAGCTCTGTACGTAAAACTATAGAAGTGAAGTGGTGGGCAGGAGCCAGATCTTCAAACCGAGTTTTCCTGTGGGAATCAGGCCTAGAAAATGCATACAGATTGTTATGGCTTGCTTTTGATAAAACTCCATCACCCTGGTCTAAAACAACAAATATGTATTGTCTATCTTCAAGGTGATTTCCAAAGCCTGTATGAGTTTTCCAAAGGACAGAGCTAATCAGCATATTGACATTCCCCTCTGCATGTTATTTTCATTTTCTTGATTGTACCTAAAATGTAGACAATAATATTCTATGTAATAGATAATAAATCTTTCTCTGGTGCAAGACCCCAGGAAAACAATAAAAGCCTGTCTAGGCGAGGGTCAGAGTGCTCCCCTCTTGAGGGAGTGGCCGAGGAATCCATAGGCACTCTCCCTTTGAGACAGTAGTTGTGCCGTTCCCTTTTTTTCCACAGGATTGTTGTCACCTGTGCATTCATTCTCGCCGTCAGCCACAACAGGCGAATTCTGCTGGCCCAGGTCCACCACATCTGGTGCCCAAACAGGGACGCAAAGGCTATCAGCCACACAAGTAGTAGAGCTGGGCTCTATGAACCAGATAGAAAAGTTCTGATCTTTATTTTATAGACGAGAAACAGTGCGTCAGTCAACACAGTGCAGCAGCCAAGTTAACAGGCCCTCATACCCCCACTCCTCCCAGGGTGGTCAGGCTCAGAGCAGGCTTCTCAGTGTCTACAAAGTCAATCACCTGCTAATGTGGCTGAACTCTGCTGAAGTTTGAAATGAGCAGCATATTCTTCACTTGTGTTGTTTCTTCTGTGTATCTCATCTTTACTGAAGACATCTGGGGAACTTGTATTAGAAGGATGAAGTGAGACGTTGGGTGAGCAAGATTGAAGGTGAAGGAGTTCAACTTACTTCTTAATACATTTCTAAATACAGTGCCCTCCATCTCTTATTCTAGATTTCTCTTTCTGCCGTCTTGGTTACCTGTGACCAACTGCAATCAGAAAATTCCAGAAATAAACAATTTATACTTTTTAAATCATGGACCATTCTAAGTAGCAGGAGGAAATCTTGCAACACCTGGCTCTGCCCCCCCGGGGCATGAATCAAGCCTTTGCCCAGTGTATCCACACTGTATATGCTCTCCACTCATTAGTCACTTAGTAGCCTTCTCAGTGATCAGACTGACTGGCGGATCACCCAGGGTGTCACAGTGCTTATGTTCAAGTAACACCGACTTTACTGACACATTGCCCCAAAGCACAGAGAGCAGTGGTGTGGACAGGTTGGCTATGCCAAAGGGGGGCTGAAAAATGCTTCCTTTGGGTGAAAAGGTAGGTATGGCACAGTAAGGTAATTTGAGAGAGAGAGATCACATTCACATAACTTTCATTACAGTGTATTGTTTATAATTGTTCTATTTGACTATTAGGTATTGTTCATCTCTTACTGTGCCTAATTTATAAATTAATCTATCATAGGTATGTATGTACAGGAAAAAATGGACATCCACAGTTCCACACATCCATTGGGAATCTTGGAACATATGACCCTCAGATAGAATCTGTAATTAGAATAATCTTTTTAGTGAAAATTTTGAAATATTTAAAAAAGAACTTATGTTACATTGTTCCCTCTATGTTATCTTATAGATCTGAAGCCAATGACTTAGCCTTACGCTTGGCTCGGCAGTTCAGGGGCCACCAAGATGTGATCACTCTTGACCAGTAAGTCTTGGACACAAGATTTCTAAGCAAGATGCTCCTTCAGAGACAAAATCAACTTGACTCTGTCCATGCTAATACCATACACACCTGTGGAGGAGGGGGATGTGTGGCACAGGGATTTTGACTTGCATCAGGGTATCAAGGCCAGGTTAGGCCTGCCGAATACTTAATTCCTCCCAAGTTCCTGCAAACAGGGTAAGCTCTGTTGGGTATTGTGGTTATGGCCTCATGGGCTTTGCATGAATCAGGGCTTTACTTAATTCAGCCACATCTTCAGAGTCCCCTTTGCCATGTAGTGTAGTCTTAAATTTGAGGATTAGGTCATGGGCATCTTGAGGGTGGGTGGCTACCACAGTAGATTTTTTTTGTTCTCTTTTATTCCCATTCTCCCCACTTATAGACAATTATTCTAATGTGTCTCTTGCATATCTTTTATTTTTAATGTATATTATTTTATGTGCATCTGTTTTAATTTTTAAAATATTGCTATAGACCTCTTTCTGTTTCTGACTTTTTTCCTTCAGCACAGTTTCAGGATTCTATGTTGATGGGTGTACCTCTATTTTTCTAATTCAGTGCTGTAAGATAAGAGATATATAATTTGAGCCACATAGGGAATTTACAGTTTTCTAGTAGCCATCATATTCCCAAATATCATTTCAACATGTAATCCTTATAAAAGATATTGGGCGTTTTCTCTCTCTTGCTCTCTTTGTTTTGGTGTGTGTGTGTATATTGTCTTTAAGATCCAATGGGTGTCTTACACTTAGAGCACATGTCACTTCAGACTTGCTGCCTTTCAAACACTCAGCTGCACATGGGCAGTGGCTGCCATAGGGAACAGCACAGCTGGAACTATTGTATATTGTTCCCACCAGTGATGGATGCTGTGACTGTCCTTTGTCCCCAGCTACCCCAAACAGTGCTGTCATGAGCATCCTTGTGCATGTGCCATTATGAACCTCTCTGAGAATTTCTTAGGGATAAACACCCAGAAACAGCCTTGCTAGGCCATAGGGGTACTGCAAACATTGCTAATTTGACTAAATACTGCCAGATCCACCTCCAGAATGGCTACATCACTTACAACACAGTGCATGAAATTTCCCATGTTTCCATGTCCTCTCCAAAACCTAATAGTGTCTTGCTTTCTAATTCTTTTCTAATTTCTGCCAGTCTGATAGGTATAAAATGATACCAGTGTTGTTTTAATTTGCAATTTTCTAATTATTAGTTTGAGTATCTCTTCTTATACTTATTTCACATCTGTGATTTTTCTCCTAAAAATTACTGTTCATATTCTTTGCCCATTTTTAAAACTGGGATTCCACCCTTTTCTTGTTGGTTTGCAATTGTTTATATAATGTAGATCAGAGGATCTGAACCTTCAGAGGACTGTGGTTTAGAATTATCTGAGGAATTTTTTTTAATACTAATACCAGGCCCTATGCCAGACCCATGAAAGAGAATCTCTAGAGGCGGATCCTAGGAAATAGTATATATTTAAATTTTTCCCAAGTGCTTCTAATATACAGGCAGAATTAAAACCACTATTTGGGGAATTAATCTTTTTAAGTTGTGAGACATTTCAAATGTGCTTTTTGCTATCTATTACACATCTTTTAACTTTGTAATTGGTATTCTTCAACAGAAATCTTTAATTTTAATCAAATTAAATAGATAAATTTTATCTATGTATCTAAATAGATAAAATACAATCTTACAGTTTGTATTTTCTAAGTTTTGTTAATATCTCTTCTCCAACCCCAAGACTGCAAAGATATTCTTTATTTTCTTCTACCTATATAATTATTCCCCATATCGGATGCAGCTATGGAGTCCCCTGTGTGACCATTCATGTATGGATATATCTCTGAGGTCATGTGTCACAGTCATCTCTTTGGTCTTTCTCTAATGCAGCACTAATTGTATTACTCTGGCTCTGTAGCATGGTTTAACCTATGATTTTTTAAAAGTGCTTCCTCTTTGCTTTATATATTCATGGGCCTTTTACAATTTATTTTCCAGACCTCTCAATTATATCTCTGGTCAAGAAACAGGAAAGGGCATATGAGAACCTCCTGTATTTTACTCGAAAGGAACTTCATAGCCACTCAATCACTTATCAATCTTAGTTCTTAAAGAGACTTTCTGTTCATTACGAACTTGTATTTGCCTAATATATGCAACTGGATATCCTTTGGAAACCATCCCAAACAGAAACACAGCCCATTATATGATAGACAGTTATTATTAAAATTCACTGGAATGTAACTATTAAAGACACTTTTCATGAAGCTACAGAAAATACTATTTTTTTACATTTAGACGATCTAAGTTAGCAGATATAATTTAAAGAAATTAAGTTCTTTCTGGTTAAAAAATTTTATATGGGGATACACATTTTGATTTCCTTGTGTTTTATTTCATGAATAAGAACTGGACAAATTAAATGGCCAATCCTGTCATGAAAAATTAGATCCCATACTGTTAAATCTGGCCCCAATATTGAGATTCTCCTCAAATGATATGCAACACTATTTTGTATTTGCTAGAAAAACATCTTTCTTTGAGCAATTTTGTTTACTGACTTTTTTCTTTTCAGTGCTTACCATGGCCACCTATCATCTCTAATTGAGATCAGTCCTTATAAATATGGACAGGGCACAGATGTCAAGAAAGAATTTGTGCATGTGGTAAGTACTTCAGAATCCAAAAATCAGAATGTTAGTATTGGAAGCATGCCTGGTGATAATCCAGTCCAATCTTTTCATTGAAATGAAACCATGAAAAAGAAACTAAGATCTAGAGCAGTACGTGATTTGCTAATGTCAAAAAGCTATTTAATGATGGGATGTGGTTCAAAATCCATTGATCAGTGACATGGTGAGCAGATTAGTACAGTGGTAGTGGCCGCTATTATTCATAGCTGTTTGCTTTTCTTGTCCCTTGGTCTTTAATTACTTTTTCTACCAATGATATCAGCTTGAAATTCAAAGTTGAATTAAGTGTGTGGCATTGTCTTTAAATTGCTCTGTGCTAAATTACTATATAGGTTTATTAAGTAAAATAAACAAAATAAGCCAATGAAGTTGTTGAAATAGTAAAACTGATTTGGTTTAAGTAAGGATTGGTAGACTTTCTTGAGAAAATCATCAATACCTTCTTCCAAATTTTAAAATCTGGAATCTGTGGTAAGGCACTCGAGTTTTCTGAATAATTAGAATTTGTTATAAAATTGGTAAATGTTAGTTTATTTTCAATCTAGAATAGTTAATACAGTTTCCACTCATCGACATTTGCAGACAATATAATCACACTTGTTCATTTGAACTTGGTCCCTATGTGAATATAGGGATGCTGTCTTGACTTACAAGGGTCTAGGAGCATTAGCACCCACTCGCAATGAAAAGATCTCAGGTACTCGTGGAATGCAGAAATGTTATGGAGGAAGAACCAGAGAACGTAGAGTCACTTAAATCCACATGATCACCTTTCTAATATACTTTCGTGGGAAAGTGCCGAATTTCAAAGGCTTATTTTTCCAAGAAGCAAACCATGAGAGACTCTATTATTTGATGTTTAAGGCACCAACTCCGGATACTTATAGAGGAAAATATAGAGAAGACCATGCGGACCCAGCCAGTGCTTATGCAGATGAGGTGAAGAAAATTATTGATGAAGCTCATAAAAGTGGAAGGAAGGTTTGTATTTACAGTTTTGGAAACATTTTAACATCTTTTATATCATTGTGATATAGTGGAGAGATGGAAAAGAACTAGATCTCATTTCCCTTTCTATTCTGCTCTGGTTACATTTTCACTTGGTTCATATTTCAGAAAGTGTGTTATTATAGTCATGCCTCTAAGACTACCTATTTTATTTATCCTGGAAGGGCAATCACTGTGCCCATTCCAAAATGGGTGACCTAACTCTGACCTTCCCAGTGGGGTGCAGACTCTGGTCCAAGGGGCAGAGGAGAGAGGTTTAGGGAAGGCAATAGGCCAGGGACAGATTATTCCAATGCGGAGCAGCACAAGGAGCTAACACATGGTGCCAAGAAGGGAAGAGGCAGGGTGGCCCTGACGCATCAGGACCAGTGCAGACTCCAGGACCCACACAGGAGCCTTGGCACTTCCTTGGAACCGGTTCAACTTTCCTGAAGCCACAGAACGTGGGTAATTCATGTCAGGAAATGTTTCTTCCAACGTGGACCTGGACCTCTGAGACAGAACCCAAATCCTGCAGAGCAGGAAAAATACTTTGTTTTCCAAGTTTTTACCCTACTGTCTTCAGCTTAATGTTAACTCTCAGCCCACTTGAGGGTTACTAATGTGGTGTTTTAATGTGTTTTGACACATGCTTTGCCTTTCAACATGTTTAGGCATCAACATGGCAAAAAGAAAATTTAATGACAATAAAAATGAAGGCTTTGCCTTTTCCCATTCAAATATGTTTGTTTTAATGACTGAAGAGTCACTTTCATTTCTAACTATTTTTTCTTTTCAACCCATAGATTTTCTTATCTTCCTACATTATACCTATGCAGGTAGACCTAAGCTTAATACTTCTTCTCTTCAAATGTAGCCTCTACCTCTTTACTGAACAGTGAGCACAGCTTTTAGGAAAAACATTTTTCATTGCAGAGATCATATGGTCTTTTGGCTGCGAAAGGGACTCAGGTGATATTTCTAGTACATTACCATTCAATAGTTATTATATAGATGCTCTCATGTTAACAATGCTGAAAGCAATGAGCAAATATAAAATTAGATGCTTTGGTGAATCAGATGTGCTTAGAAAGTCATAGAATTGTAAAGAATATTTCTTTTGTATCCAGCAACCTCATTTTACAGCTGATAAATGAAATAGTTTAAAGTAAGGGACTTCAAGGTAATAGTTACTAAGAGGCAGGCTAGACTAGAACCTTAGTTCTCTTGACTTTATATCTTAGTTCAATGTTATCTATTTTCTACTTCGTTCCTATCCTCTAGAACATTCCTCTGCAGTTCCTATTGAGAATTTCCCAGTTCTGCTGAGGTGAGCCTGGCTCAGGGCAAGCACTAGAACCATTGCACAGTGACTCATGTGTGGTGTCAAGTCGTCCTCCCACTTTGTTGGTGCACATTCTGGGCTCAGGCTGTCCTCATGCACCAAGCTGAGAAATAAGCTCCACAATAATGTATTAGAACCTGGGTAACATTTTAGATCTTCATATAAAAACTGATCAAAACATCAGTCTTATCCAGTTGGTCCTAATGAAAACCTTGCATTTAAATTAATTGTCATGAAATGGACGGGAAGCACCCTCTTCTCTATTTCTCGTGGTAGTTTCATTGACACCCTAGAATTTCAGAAACTAATGCTTCATATCACTTTCTTTTTCATCATAGACATCTTTTCTTTTTAATCAAATGGCCTATTTGCCACTTGGCACAGATTGATTCCCAGTCATTTTTTTAAAAAAAACTGCTGTGTCAGAAGTCCCCCTTTTTAGGTAGTATGAGGAGGGACTTAATGGACTTTGACCTCATCTTCTCTTGTATAGATTGCTGCCTTTATTGCTGAATCCATGCAGAGTTGTGGCGGACAAATAATTCCTCCAACAGGCTACTTCCAGAAAGTTGCAGAGTATGTACTTGACGTGGGCACCCTTGATGAAACTGAGGGCACCATGACAATTCTGTAGGGCTGTATTGGTTGTTAAAATATTGAAGAACTTCTGCCCTGGCTGGTGTAGCTCAGTGGATAGAACATGGGCTGTGAACCTTAGGGTAGCCAGTTCAATTCCTAGTGAGGGCACATGCCTGGGTTGCAGGCCAGGTGCCCAGTAGGGGGCATGTGAGAGGCAATCACACTTCCATATTTCTCTCCCTCTCTTTCTCTTTCCCTTCCCCTTTCTAAAAATAAGTAAAACATTAAAAAATATATTGAAGAACTTCCAAACTAGCTATTAAATCGCCATTTCAGAATGCCTACCACCCCAAGACTCCCAGAATTCCTCCACCTTCTCAAGACCCAGCAAATAAAGAAACTTATACACGGTTTAGCAGGGGCCCTCCAGGACTCTGCCCTAGCCTCTGGCCACTCCTTGACACTTACCAGTTAGTAAAAATTTCAAAATTAATCCCACTAAACACTGCTTCTTGTTCACTTCTTTCTCTTCCCACTTAAGATGCTGCCATAGAGCTTATTTTAACACAAACCCAAATAATATGTAATAGATCTAATCTGGAAATTATGTGGTTATATTTCAAAGTCAATGACAACATAGATGTCATTGAAAGTTTTGAGCACTGAAATATTTTTAACAAAGACTCCAGGCTTCAAATTAACAACATTTTTTTCTTAAATTCTCAAAAATCTGTGTCTTTGTGGATGGGTGTGGGGACCGTCAGTGACATCAAGGCATTAGACTGTCCTTTTATTTTTCAGGTATGTACACAGAGCAGGAGGTGTGTTTATAGCTGATGAAGTTCAGGTTGGTTTTGGAAGAGTTGGGAAACATTTCTGGAGCTTCCAAATGCATGGCGAAGACTTTGTTCCAGACATCGTCACAATGGGAAAACCAATGGGCAATGGCCACCCAGTGGCATGCGTGGTAACAACCCAAGAAATTGCAGAAGCTTTCAGCAGCTCTGGGATGGAGTATTTCAATACGGTATGTCTTGATCTCTGACTTTAATGCTAAGAAGAGAAAAGAATGCTTGCTCTTACACTTCTTGCCCATATAGTAAAGATTAAAGCTCATATTGCCAGCTCACCACTGCCGAATCCTAGCCACACTTTGATCTAACCATGCTTCATTCTATCTGACACAGTTCTCCTTGTATTTCTCCTTCTGTGACTCTCCCATTTCTCTACTGTTCTTACTAATTATTCCCTTGATAGGTGGCTGCCCTGCTAAATTCTAGTTATGATATTTCATTCACAGATATTATTCACTTGTTTTTTATCATATTTGAATTTCAAAAAACATCTCTGTTTAGATGATTCAGTACTATAAATATTATATGGCTGACAAAAGAGATACTAAATTTTTATCTTTGAGAAATTTTATTTTCTTGGTTTTATTCCCTCAAAAGTATTAAGTGTGAAGCTGGAGAAAATATTATAGTTTGTACAGTATGTATAATAGCATTTGTTATTTGGCTACAGGTAAGATTCAAATCTAAGGACATAAATTATTTGGGAGAAACCCACACCCCTCCCTCCCTACTGAACCACACTCTGAAATCCTTACTTCCCAACACACTGTCTCTGTTGTGTGGATGAACCAGTGAAGTTCCTGATCGTCCTTCACACTACTCATGCAGCATGGAGAATAGAAATTAGAATGCGATTTCTTTTAATCCTCAATAAATAGAATCATGCTATATTCTAATCTATGAAATTAATGTATATGAGAAAGTTTTATTGAAATGGCTTGCTTATGTTTGACACAAATTTCTCATAGATGAAGCAATGCTACTAATTTATGTTTTCTCATTTATCCTTTTTCTAAAGTATGGGGGAAATCCAGTATCTTCTGCTGTTGGTTTGGCTGTCCTGGATGTGATTGAAAATGAAGACCTTCAAGGAAACGCCATGAGAGTGGGGAGCTACCTTATCAAGTTACTGAATAAGGAGAAGGCTAAGCACCCTTTGATAGGAGATATCAGGTGTGTTTGTCATGACATCGTTATGCAGCTACTCATCCTTCCAAATGAAAATAGCTTATGTTTTACCTGATACATTGAAAACAAAGTACAGAAAACAAAACCTAGAAAACACTGAAACTACAAAAAGCAGAACTCATTCTCAGTCCAGAACCCAGATATCATCATCTCTACTGCTAACTTTTTAAAATTAATTAATTTATTTTTAATTATTTTTCAACTACAGTATTCTTTCTTTTACTCCCTTCCCAGCCCGCCCCCGGTACCCCCCACCTCCCTCCCCTTTTCACCCCCCTTATTTGTTGTCCATGTGTCCTTTATGCTAGTTCCTGTAAATCCTTCCCCTTTTTCCCCTGAAATTCCCTCCCCTCTCCCCTTCAGTTGCTGTCCCCCTGTTCTTGATTTCAGTGTCGTTGTTTTTATTTTGCTTGCTTGTTTGTTTTGTTGTTTAGCTTACTGTTAAAGGTGAGATCATATGGTATTTGTCTTTCACCTCCATATGGTGTTTGGCTTATTTCACTCAGCACAATGCTTTCCAGTTCTATTCAAGCTGTTGCAAAGGGTAGGAGCTCCTTCTTTCTTTCTGCTGCATAGAATTCCATTGTGTATATGTACCATAATTTTTTGATCCATTCATTTACTGATGGGCATCTCAGTTGCTTCCAGCTCTTGGCCATTGTAAATCGTGCTGTTATGAACATTGGGGTGCATAGGTTCTTTTGGATTGGTATTTTAGGGTTCTTAGAATATAATCCCAGCAGTGGAATTGCTGGATCAAAAGGCAGGTCGATTTTTATTTTTCTGAGAAAAATTCCATACTGTTTTCCACAGTGGTTGTACCAGTCTGCAATCCCACCAACAGTGAACTAAGGACCCCTTTTCCCCCACAACCTCTCCAACATTTGTTGTTGGTTGCTTTGTTTATGATAGCCATCCTGACCAGTGTAAGGTGGTATTTCATTGTGGTTTTAATTTGCATTTCTCTGATGGCTAGTGATATTGAGCATCTTTTCATGTGTCTCTGGATTCTCTGTATGTCCTCCTTGGGGAAGTGTCTGTTCAAGTCCTTGTCCCATTTTTTAATTGGGTTGGTTGTCTTCTTAGAGTGGAGTCATGTAAGTTCTTTGTATATTTTGGAGATTAAACCCTTGTCTGAGGTATCATTGGCAATTATGTTTTCCCATACAGGCTACTGTTAACTTTTGAGTGTATTTCTTTATAAGCTTTTGAAAGACAAAGCTGGGATAATTTCAGCACCAAAAAAGATGAAAAGAAAGAATTTGAAATAACTTTAAATTATTTATTAAAAATTCTTTAAAATGATATCCAGGAACACTTGATATTGCACATATGTATAACATTTATCAGCATTAATGTCCTGAGAAACCAAATAGTCTGAAGAGGTCGTTTTAAGCCTTTTACTTATTCAATTAAGTGAGGGGAGAAAAAAATACTGAATGACAAAAACCAACTTTTTCAAAAACTAGAAAGACCTAGGGACACTTGGATCAGTATCTTGGATTAGTGAGAATCAATTACAGTCACTCTTAAAGGGAGTCACATTCAGTTTAGGGACCATGTTAATTTTCTGCAGTGTTCAGTGAGGTGTGTCAAGTTTTCTTTCTTCACCTCTTTCAGGGGAATTGGCCTTTTTATCGGAATTGACTTAGTGAAGGACCATCAGAGAAGGACCCCCGCCACAGCCGAAGCTCAGCACGTTATCTACAAGTAGGTGCACGTCCACCCTGTTTGGTGTCTGGGTCCTAGGGTGCCCACCCTCGTGAAGGCTTTTTTGACTTCCCCTCATGTCTCCAAATAGGGACAGTTTCAGACACATGCATTTTTTAAATGTGGGATTCTTGAGTGTGGAATACAAAACTGCTCTATGTTCACATTACTCTTAAAGACGCTTACTTATCATTTGCATGTATTCTCACATATTTCCTGCATCCTCATTAGGATGAAAGAAAAGCGAGTGCTTCTCAGTGCCGATGGGCCTCATAGAAATGTACTTAAAATAAAACCGCCTATGTGTTTCACTGAAGAAGACGCCAGGTTTTTGGTGGACCAACTCGATGGGATTCTAACAGGTCTGTCCATAGATTTTTAAGATGCCTCCTTGCCCCCTACACCCCCTGCTCTCCACCACCAATCCTGGCTTGCTCACACACAACTGTGCATGTTGTCATCTGTGATGGAAGTGAAGGAGGGCAGAAATAAATGTTAAATTTGTATTTAGAACTAGGAGAGCTGAGAAATAATAACTACATTATGGACTCTTAGTTAAATCAACATTTTCTGTTTGCACTCACACAACTCCAAGCCTAAGCTTTTACTGAAAGAGCCAGCAGTTTTATTTTTATCATTTATTTTTACTTTTAAAAAACGGTGTGCACCACAAATTCTGCAGTATATTGTATTTCGACATTGTGCTGTGAAATCATGTGAAATATTATTAATAAAATTATAGACTACAGGCTAACAATTATTTATTATATGCTGAGTCATTTGATTTTGTGTATTTTACCTGTTACAATTTAATTTTTGAGCACTTTTGTTTGTCCATTCAGAATTATAGCCTATGATAAGAACTTATCTTTTGTTTACCTATATTATAAAACTAGGCTAATTAATTCTTTGTCATGAGCATAAATCCATATTAGAAAGTAAACTAACAGTGTAAACCCATATTGAAAAACATAAATTGCTGTCAAATGATAGAATTTTTGTTATTGCTTTAGTTGTGTTTTCAAGATTCAATTTCTCTGCTCTCTTTTCAGTCTTTTAGGGTTGAGACAGGGCCAAGAAGCCAGGAGTCAGCGTAACATAGAAAACAGATAATTAATGTCTGGAAACTTGAGAGTCAGCCCAAGTTATTTGTAGTAAGGCACTGCAGAAGGCACCCAAACCTGACAAGCATTCCTCACACACCTGCCTGTCCTCTGGTCCCTTGAAGGAGGCAGTGGAAAGAGTAAAGGTTGGGGCAAGTCCATCACTAGTACTTAAAAGTCACCTCAGAGCTTAAGCACTGTCAGTGATGGGCCGAAGAATTTCTTTTGAATAGTGTGAGTGAGGCATAGCTAACACAGGCTCAAGTGCCCCTTGTAAATGATAATGATGAAACACTGCAATAAAAGCTTAAAAGCAGTGGTTTGCACAGTGACACCTTTAAAAAAAAAAGCATTCAGCTCTATTCTTAAGGGTATTCCTATAGATACCAAAAGGGTTTTTAGAGGTTTATATGTTCCATCTTCTCCATTACACCCTCTCTGATGCAGTTTTAGAAGAAGCCATTGGAGCCAAAACTGAGAGTGTGACGGTCTCTGAGAACACACCATGCAGGACAAAGGTAAGAGTCAGCTACTTTATTTTTAGGAGAAAAGATGAAAACTGTAGGAATTTATGAAATAAGATTGCAAATTTTAAAAAATTGTACAATGACCTTTTGAATAAACCCTGCCTTTGCTAGGGATGGCTTATTGTTGCAATTCTGAGTGCACCATTAAATTTCAAGCTGTGTGTCAGGCCACCTGAAAGGCACAAAGGCAAAGATTCTGACAGGATATTCCAGTTACAACCATCAAAAACCCCTCAGGCCCGTGAAGAGGGCCTTCAAGTCATATAGAGAGATGATTACATGTGACCTAAATGCCTTCTTGTTTGCTCTGAAGACCACCTGACAGTGCCTCAGATTCTCACACACCACACTTTAAAATCAACAGAAGCATTAGCAGCATGGCTCCAAAATACCAGAGTTTGATCCTGACATGAACTAAAGTCAAAACTTTGAATGGCCTCCGGAGCCTGGGAACCTTCAGGCACCCAGTGGCCTACTTTCTGCATTTGATGTGCTTCCAGCAGAGGGCCTTTCCTTTCTCCCCCTGAGCTGCCCAGGGTGTGAGAGAGAGCTCCCTGTGTCAGGACACAGTAAGGCAAAAAACTTGAGAGGCTTCGTTGCATAATATGTTTATGACTTTGCCGCATAAAAGAACAATCAGTGCCCTGAGTCTGCCTGCACGTCCAGTGTGGTCAGCAAAATCCTTCTCCTCACTGAAAAACACTGGCACTCGGGATGAGAGCAAATGATTTGCTTAACAGGACAAACCAATTCTAGAAATCAATGATTATCTGCTGTTTGAGAGTTGCTTCTCTGGCTAGGACAGAATCACAGGTCTAAGAACTGAATAAGCATTAAAAAGGAGCTTCCACAAAAGGGGTTCACCATGGGAAATCCTACTTTGGAGTTTGCAGAGTTAACACACATTTCTGAAGTGCTGGCTCGGAGTGCCAGATTTTATGTTGACATCACTTTTCAAATGTCTATGAAAGGCACAGCGTTAGGGAGGCACAGCCAGCGCTGTGTTGTATGGAGCTGGCAGGGGTTCTCCCATGAGCTGTGTTTGCCTGCCTCTGCAGCACCCCCGGGGGGGGGGGTGGGCAGGTCAAAGGTGGAGTGCCCACTGGAGTCTGTGTCCTTGTCTTGCAGATGCCTAAGGAAGCACACTTGGAATTGCTCAGTGAGGAAGCTCCAGACCAGAAAGCAAATCCCAGGCAAAAGAGAAATGAATTGTACGAGGATAAACATTCACTGCTCAGTAAACGGCTCAAGACATGAGGGATTAGTATTTTAAGGCAAGACAAATATCCTGAGTTATGAAAGGAAATATCTTCTTAACAGCTCTCTGTACTCCTTAAAGGTAAAATTTGCATTCCATATAGCTTTGTCAATAAAAAAATCACAAATGAGCAGTAAGAATAAACCAACTGATGATCAAACCATGTCAAAATTATTAGTTCAGACTTTAGCCTGTTAATTCCAGACTTGAACTTTCTGAATGTACTTAATTTATTCTACTAAATTGAAGCTTTAAGTTGAATATTAAGTTGAATATTATGGAAGTTTTACTTTTCATGTTTTAATGTCTGAAATAAGGGAGCAAAGTACAACAGGTTTCTTAACTTAGGAGACCTAGTGCCTTAAAATGTGAATTCTATAATGATTCCTTTGGTGTACATTTATGGACTATAATAAAATAAAAGATAATGTGCACCCAACATGTTTTACTAGCAAAGTGTTTATCCTTCTTTTGCAGAGAATTTTAAAAGTTGGGGTGGTAAAAGCAGTCACTTGGGGAAACAAATCACATAGAGCAAATGTAAAAAGTGAATGAATAACCCAGACCTCTGGCGAGGCGCTAGGACCGGGTTAATCATGGCCCTGGGGGGACTCGGGGTCAGGGCAGGAGGAGTGCACCCAGATATGCTCTGCAGAGGTGGCTCAGACGGTAGCAGGGGCCAAAACTCTGTGTTCGCAGGAGACTGAGCTTTGTCTACTTAGACTGCGTCACCTTGGCAAGGCACTTACCTGTCAGGTAAGAAATTAACTTTGAACCAAACATCCTTTTCTCACCATCAAGTTTGTCATGCACACACACACTTCTAACCAGACTCCTGAGGACACCTGGAACCTCGAGAGACTCTCCATTACATGCTGGTACCATACATCAATGGAAAGCAATGTACCGAACTGGGAGAAATTTGAATTTTAGTATAGACTTCCCCCTGTCTCTCTATTGCCTTCCTAATAGTTATTAAATTTTGTGGTTCTGTTACATAAAATAGAGGTAATAATCTTGCTATGGCAATTTCATGACAACTGAGAAGGATGTTGGGAAGAAAACTAATTGTAAAAAGCTTTCTTTCTGAGTTCATCATAGATAAGAAGGCTACATAAGTGCTACCAAAATGTAATATTACTAATACGTTTTACTCCTAAAAGTAGAACTGATTCTGGCCCCTGGCTGGCTAATGCTGGTAGTTGGTTCCCAAAGCTGGCGAAGAGGAACGGGATACAGGTCTCTGTGGTTCACCCCTAGGGAACAAGTTAATGACAAGACAAGTTCTGTGTGTACCCCTTGTTGTCTCTATCTGGGGCTGGTATAGATGCTCGAGGGAGGAAGGACAAAGCCCATGCCCATGCTTGTCTTCCAAATACAAAATAGTAGAAAGCTGGGACTGTATTCTTCAATACACTCCACTCTTCTTCATTATCTAAACCTTAGGTTTTTATAATAAGAGAGACACAGAAATACGTGACTCCTTCCTGAAGGCACCTGTCTATGATGCCCTGGTAGCTGCCTCATTTGTGGCCTCCTCAAAAGGGAGGCTGTGTCATTGTGGCTCCCCTGGGACTCAAGAGAGTCCCAAGGTGGATTTAACACAAAGATAGAAGTGCAAGAGATCAACAGGGGTAACTCCTGTCAAAGATAAAGGAACGAGGGAACAGGAGTAGTCAAGGGGGCCTTCCCACTGACACCTATGAGTAGAGGGTCTGACACCTATGAAAGGAGAAGAGCCTGAACTGAGGGTTGAGTAGGAAGAGTCTCAGGGGAAGACGTAGCCCTGAGGGTCTATGGCAGCACATGGGGGCCCAGCGCAGAGAGGGTCCCCCTAATGAAGAGCTGTGCTGGGAGGACATGACCAGCCCCCCATCTCTGCTGACTTCACTCCTGGCTGGGAGCTCTCAGAGACAGTGTACCCAGCTACAATGCTCAGTGGATCTCAAAAACTCGAGGCCATCAGTAGACGGCTCTCCTCACCACAGGTTCCCTCTTGGAGGGAGAGCTGAGCAGCACACTCCCATGGCTGCCAAGTCCACCTGGGGTGGGACACACATCCACTTCCCCACACATTTGGGGGAGCAGCTCCTCAGGGGTTCCTCAGTGGGTCTTTCATCCTGAGGGGATACTTAGTAGAGCAAACTATGATTCCTGTCACTGCAAATAATCCCAGTGCCACAACAAGTACTTCTTATCTCCCACCTTCACCATTGAAGTTCCACTCCCCCCTCAGCTATCACTCCTGAACCTCCTAGAAGTGGCATGACTCAAACCCTCATTCCTAGGAGTATGAGTCCCTGGAAACCAAGGCCTCCTCGGGCCAGGACTGTGGTCCTTGTCCTTTCACAGTCACAATTAGGCAAGGGGTGCCAAGACACACCAAAACATGTCACCTGAGTTGCACATCTATTACTGCCTCCCCCACATTGCATCAGAAGCCCTGCCTTGAACATGGTGACTCCACCCACTGCTCCCTAGCCTAGGAGTGCAATATGCTCAGGTGTCAGGTGCAGCTTGTAGTTTAACAGGATTCTTGCTTTGTCCCTTGGCAAAAGTGCACCCATGAGGGAACCAGGGGCTCTAACTTGGCAGAACCCAAAATTATAGGGATAGGAAGAACACAGTTCTCCACTGAGTCATTGATTGGAAATAAGGTCATTTCCACTATTGCCCCTGGGACCCAAGATCCTACTGGGGACACAGCGCCTTATAGAGGTCCCCGATTGGGTGCAGGTACTACATTTGGAGGATGCCACCCCATCCTTTCAGAGTACTGGGTTGGTTTTTTTCTTAAAATAAAAGACACATTTTTTCATTTTTACCAATAACTTTACTGATTTGGATATTTTGAATATATTGGCTCTCACCTGCATGGTATAACATTGATTGTTCTCAGTTAATATCTGGATTTGATCTCAACTTCAACGGATCTACCCAACTGTGGAGTACCATCCAGGGAGAAATCTTCAGTGCAAAACTTCACAAACCACTTTTGACACATTTGATCAGTCACAGCATCTTCTCCATACACTGTACAAATCTTTTTGGCATTTCCTTTGCATTTTCACTTTTCTTGAAATAAAAAAGTATAATATGATAAAAATGTTTCTTATTTTCTTACATCTTCAATATTAAAATGGCTACACAAATATCCACCAATTTTGATAAGGTTTTTTAAAAATTGACATTGATATGACAGCTGTCACAATATAACCTGACAAAATCATTTAGAATGAAGACAACTAAGTGCCACTAGAGCCATCTTATGGAAAACACCAAAAGAACTTTTTGACCAACCTAATTCTACCTCTGAGCTGGTGCGCCAGCTGCACCCTCATTCAGGATGGCATTCCAATGCCCTTTCAGAGTGGCAGCTTCTTGATGGGGTGATTGTAATACAACCAGCAGACTCATGGTCATGGGCCCACCCTGCACATCTTCACTATAAAGTGGGTTCCCCCTTTGGATGATATTTTGTGGGGTTTCATGTTTGTGTGTCTAAAATCTGGTGCTGGTTCAGGCCGTGCAAGTAAGAAAAGTAAAGGCTAATCCATGCCCCAAATAGATGAATATTCCTGTACAAACAAACCACTGGCCCTGCCAGCATGGAGAGGGTCCAAGGTAGTCAGCTTGTCACCATGCAGCGTGCTGATCTCAGGAATGGTGTCACATCAGGGACTCACTGTTGGTCTCTGTTGCAGGCAGAATAGGTGTGCAGAGGGGGCAATAGCTAGATCTGCCTTGGCAAGTGGGAGGCCATGCTATGGCCAATGAAATGCCCCCATCTCTGCCACTGTGTCTGTTACACTCATGTGCCCATTATGCCTATTGGGGGATGGCCAATGTCAAAGTCCAGCTAAGGTCAGCCAGCCAGGTCATTTTGTTTACTTGGTTGTTCAGTACTTCTGTGGTAGATGTTAACATATAATAAAAAGAAAATCTTAACACATGGTATTTATTCCATATACCCATGTAGGTATGTGGAATATACCTACCCAATATCTCCTTTGTTACAAACCTAATACTTCTTTCAGGCTCCCGACCAGCTCACCAGGCCATTTGCTACTGCTCATGATTTCATACATGTGCTCACCTCACTGCTCCTCCCACACAAAGTGGATGACCAGGTGCACCACTCAAAGACGTACCTTAGAAAGATTTTCCTATGTCACTGTCTTTCAAGGCCACCATTGAGTGTGCCTGTAATGTGGCCATAATCTACTTCACTGAAATAAGTCCTCAATTCTTTTTTTTAATATTTTATTTATTTATTTTTAGAGAGAGGGGAAGGGAAGGAGAAAGAGTAGGAGAGAAACATCAATGTGTGGTTGCCTCTCATGTGTCCCCTACTGGGGACCTGGCCTGCAACCCAGGCATGTGCCCTGACTGGGAATCAAACCAGCGACCCTTTGCTTCACAGGCCTGTGCTCGATCCACTGAGCTACATCAGCCGGGGCCCCAATTCTTTTTAGTATTTAATTCTCACCTTCTTGAACAAACGTGCCTCACTGAGGCCTCCAGTATTCTGCCCACCTCTCTTCCTACAGGATCAGGATGATGTCACCTATGTAATGGATAACTGATATTTTTCAAATTGCCCAGATGGTCCAGAACTTTTTAGACCAAATTACAACAGAGAGCAAGAGAGTTAACAGCTCTGGAGCAAAAGTATAAAGAATATTGTTGTCTGTTCCATAAGAATACAAATCATTTCTGATTTTCTTTCCTGATTAGGTTAAAAACAAGCACATTTCCCAAATTAATGACTAGAGATAATGCACATGAAGCCTTACTAATCTGCTCCTGAAATATCACCATATCTAGTTCTTCAGCTGCAATTGGGGTTACTGATTGGTTAAGCCTGCAAGCGTACAGTAATTTTCCGGGCGTCATCTACTTTCTATAGCAGCCAAGTCAGCTAATTAAGAGGACAGATGATAGAAACAGCCACGCACACATCCTTTAGATTTTTAAGAGCGGCACTAACATCCGCCATCAATGCCCAGAATGTGATACTGTCTTTGATACATCATCTTGGTTGGAGAGGGTGAGGGTAGGTGTGTGGAAGGAAGGTTTTGAGGCTTCCACCTGGCCTTCTCCACCATAACAGCTCTTACTCCACAAGCTAGAATCCCATGTGCGGGTTACTCCAACTGCCGAGTATGTGCATCCCTATTATACATTTGGGGATTGGAGAAACACCCACAAGTGGACTTAACGAGTGAAGAGCAATGAGTTTTCCTACCTGTATGCTTCTAACAAGGCTTGGCACTCACCGGATACATGGGAAGACATCCTTGGGTGCAGTGGCAGTGTAGACAAGCAGATATAGACTTTATTCTGAGCTCTTTGTGAACAGGACGTAGAGGTGTATTACTCCTCAGGAGAGCAGCGGGAAAAGGGCTCTTGCCAGGTAAGACATCAAGCT